TAAGACTGTTTCGCAAAGAATATGGACATGATCTGGAACTTGAAAAAATGGAAATGTTCTTTTTCAGAAAAGAGTGTTTCAAGGATGTATATGCATGGAAAAGTTAAAATATTTGAAGACTGGAAAAAATCTTTGCATGAAGTTCGTGAGCTGATTTTAAAGATGGTTCGAATTGCTCTCTTTTGAAGTCGAAATAGAAATCTGGTCCTTCCATTCTCATATCCCCATGCCGGCACTGCGTATACTAAATGAGGGAAAATGACCCCATAATAGGCGGTCATAAGGACGTTCTGATCAGAAAAAATTGACAATTGTTTTAAAAGAAAGATGCCGGAACCAACCCTCGTACACACACTGTCGATATGGTCATAAAAACGAAGGTGTTTGTCTAATATTAAACCAAGGAACTTGACGCCTTCTGTTGACTCAATTTCCACGTTGTCTAAAAGAATAGTTGTGTGTGGATTGCCTTGGATTGAAAAACGGAGCAATTCAGTTTTGTTGGGGTTGAGATTTAATAAATTGGAGTCAAACCACTGCTTTACGTTATTTGCCTCAATAAAAGATTTTAATTCTAATTCCTCGGAAGTTGAGCCAGACAGAGCTAAAGACGTGTCATCCGCAAAAAGACAGATCTCTCCAGCCTCAACACTTGAAGGCAGTTCATTGATATAGATCAGAAACAGCACAGGTCCGAGGACAGATCCCTGGGGAACCCCACAAGTGACGGTGTCCCGAGAGGAGACAAAGGGTCGAGCACACCCAGAACTGTAACACCTCTGACCTCAACGAATTGCTCCCTCTTTCTAAGGTATGAGGAGAACCACTCCTGTGCCAGCCCCCTAACACCAATGATTCTAATTTATTGATGAGCATATCGTGATTTACAGTATCAAATGCCTCGCTCAGGTCAAAGAAAACCCCTAAAGCATTTTCTCCTGAGTCAAGAGCCCGTACTACTTTTGTTATAAGTGTAAACATTGCATTGGTGGTTGATTTCCCTTTTACGAATCCAAATTGGTTCTTAAACATAATATTATTTCTTTCTAAAAATTGTACTAATCTTGTTATTACTACTTTTTCAAATATTTTCGAAATGGTCGAAACTAGAGTGATAGGTCTGTAGTTATCGCAAGTGGTTGGTATGCCTTTTTTATACAGTGGTTTAACAACGGAGGTCTTTAATAGGTCAGGGAAGGTTCCTGCTTCAAAAGAACTGTTGACCACGTTGGCTAGGGGCTTTGCTATTATATGTCCAATTTCTTTAATTATATTGGGAGAAATTTCGTCCTCCCCGGAAGACTTCTTATTTTTCATCTCATGAATTATTCTTAAGATTTCAATTTCATCTGTTTTGTAGAGGAAAAACGAGTCTCTTACTGAGCTTATAGTGTTTAAGCTGTGGACTCCTTTGGACTTGTTTCCAACGTTCAAGAAAAATGTATTAAACATCTCAGCAACAGCGGTGGGATCGCTTACCACTTGACCAATGTCATTGATAATCTTAATCGGTTTCATTTCATTGTCCTTACATTTTTTATTTTTCTTTATTGTTTGCCATATTGCTTTAGATTTGTTGTCGGAGCCGTTGATTTCTTTTAGTATCTGGGCTTATTTTATCTGTCTAATTTGGCATCTATATTTTTGTTTCATGTGAAAGTAGTATTGTCTTATATAATGTGTTGAGTTAAGATCCTTAGTTTTTTATATAAAGTTCGCGAACAGTTCTTCCTAACTCAATTGTATCAGGTCCAAGAACTATTTTCCTCCTATCTTTTGCTATTTTGTTTTTCAAGACTCTCTTGGGAAACGCGGTGTTAAAAAAGTGAATTAACGTTGTCTCGAAAGCTGAATATTTATCATTTACATCATCTAGGGAGTATACTGATTCCCAATTTTCTTCCTTTAACAATATCTCAAAATATTCTTTAGCTGAGTGTGTAAACTTTCTACAAAATATTGATCTGGGTGCTGACGATGTTTTTGTGTTTGGAAGTATTAATGTAGCAAGTTGGGCGTGGTGATCTGAGAGGGCTGACACTATCACGGAACATCTGAAATTCTCATCCTCACTGTTTGTAAACACGTGATCAATAAGAGTTCTGGAGCTTTTGAATTCTCTAGTAAAGGATTTAACTCTGTTGGTCAGTCCAAAGGAGTCCATTGTAGTGATATATTGAGAGGCTGTAAACGATTTAGTGGCCAAATCTATATTAAAATCTCCTACGATTATGGTTTCGTTTTTGTAATTATTGTATTTATCGAGGCATTCTGCTAAGCAGTCAAGAAAGATTTGATGGTTATTTGTAGGTGGTCTATAGCCTGCAACGAGAACAACTGTTTCTCCTCCACAATCGATTAGTGCTCCGGCTAATTCACACTCGCCCTCGTGGCAATACAAATCCAAATCAATTTTTTGACAACAAAGGCCATTTTTGGCGAGTATACAGACTCCACCTCTCTCAAGATCTTTTCTGCAGAATGAAGAAACGTTGTTAAACCCCTCCAGTTTAAATATTTCAAATTCGTTTGGTTTTAAATTGTGTTCTGTAAGGCAAACAATATCTGGCATCTCTGTGTCGAGGAAAACTTGCAACAGTTCTAATTTCGAAGCAATGCCTCTAATATTTTGATGTACTATTTTTATACGGCTCCGAAGCATGCTCCTCCCCACGTCTTCCTGGGACCCATCCATGGGACTCCGTACTGTTTCCGAGCCGCCTCCAAAAAAGACCTGTTAAAGAAAACACTGGCGCCACCCAGAGCCTTCCTCACCGGTCCGCCGGAGTCGACCCGCTGTCCATGCCCAGTGCTGTGTCCAGGCTTGGAGGGCTCCGTCCCCCCGGAGACCAAGTCCGCTTGAAGGGGACAAATTTTATCTCGTAACAGCTCAGATAGCCGCCGCTTGCCCCGAGGACCCAGATGGAGACCATGCCTGGTGTAGCATGCACGGTCCAGTGAGGCCAGGGATACAAACGAGGCATTTTTATGAGCAGCAACGAGGGACTCTAATTCGCTGTTGATTGAATTGACAGTAGGGATTAATGATGGTTGATCATACCGCGAGGGCAAACCCACCACCATCACCCGCGTATTCTGCGCCACCTTCAGCACTCCGTCCAGCTCATTACATATGGTTCTACCGTGCCCGGGACTGACAATGTCATTGGTACCACCTAACAAAACTAAACAATCATTAATAGACATGCTTGGGATTTCACTGAGATCCCCTTCTAGGACTTGTTTTAGTTTAGCATTTGGCTTTACCGTAACTCTAACATTGAACTTATTACCTAACTTATCATGAAGGAGCTCTCTTATAAAACGTCCATGGCTATCTGAGAGAACTCTGACTACTGGTCGGGATTTAGTTACATTAGATATACCATTTCTAAATTGTTTTTTTAATTGATTTTTTTGTGTTACCCCAGGTTTGACAGTCTTTAGGGGTGGATTCACTTGCTTAGACCTTGTTACTTCAGGAGTCTGGCTCACTCCAACTTTAGTCTGAGCTGAAATATTACTGTTACAATCACCTACACAAGCTTCGGGGACAGATATAACACTAAATATATTTGTACTTAAGACTGATTAGGTACAACTTGTAACTTGCAGCTATGCTTACTCTTCTTAACAACCTGCCATTTGCCATTGCAACCTTTTTTCATATTTATTTTTAAGTTTACAGGTTTGCTATTGCTGATGGGCGCCTTATCGCTACTACTTGCTATTACAAGAGATACTTTCTGTGCTTGGCACCGTTAACCTATCATTACAATTTGTAAAGTGTTTTGCTGGTTTGAATTCTACAAACCAGTCACTGATGTTTGTTTTTTGACGCAATTCTTTGGGCAGGCTACAATAGCCATAGCTAATTATTTTTGCATTAACTAGCACATGCAAACCACACTCAAAACTGTTTGTCTGCTGCAAGCAGGACACGTCGGTGAACATCTGTTTATCTACACCTAAACGCTGAGCTAGGTCAAGTGCTACAGTGTGGTTGGTACTTGCGAGAGAGTCAAAGTGGTAGGCAGTATTAGACTCAATGTCAACAATTAAAAGACTCCAATGAGTGCAACATTTCTCATTACCACTAGACGTACGGTTATTTATACAGCAAAAAGCAAACTGAACTGTTTTGTAACTAAGGTCTGTTAACATGTTTTGAACATCAGACTGATTCCCATGTATAAGGATTTGAGTGACCGTTGGCCCAAGGAACAGCCACTTTGAGTTTGGATTTCTATTTACACTAAAAGCATCAAAGTATGATTGGATTGATCTGTCATCAAGCCACCTACTACTATCCCATACTAGATCCTTAGATTGAAGCAGGTCATTTTTCATATTGAGGATTAGAGAATTTAATTCATTAATTTTTGTTGTAGAGGCGCTTAATTTATTACTTAAACTATAAAGCCCACTTAATTAACAGCTGTGTCTAAGGAACATGTCGCATGTCGGCCTTAGTCACTAACAAGACAACAAGATCGCGCCACTCATCCTACCCTCATATTTGGGTTAAAATACGCACATAGTGGCGTCCCCATCTTAAATAATTGATAACTGATCGTTTATTGTCACCGGCTCCGGCAAAATAGTTTTTTCTGGGACATGTTCTGACCTCTGACCCTTAACCTCCTGTGGTTCCGCCGGATCCGGTGTCCGGCGGTTTCGCCGGGAAGTGTGTCCCAGGCAAGTCTACCTTGGTGGGGCTGTGGTGTTGTCAGCATAAAATGTACTATAAAAATATCTAGCTGTTCCGTAAGGCCAATTTAATACATTTGCCAAGGGGGATTAAAATCCAGTATAATGTGACGTAAATCATATTATGAAGTATATGGATCCTAATTATATTTACTGTAGAGGGCCTATCAACAGGTTATATAGTGCTCAGTTTTATGTGTTTTTATTCCAAAATCCAAAGCCCATTATGGATCCACATCTCTACACGTCACCATCAGTAGTAAACAGCTGTGTATATTTGGCAGGCAGTTAGTAAGTTGTTCATGACGACGACAGCTTTCTAGGTGAAGTGGTGAAGTGAAGAAAAAGAATTAAGCAAGAAAAGAACCAAGAACCAAAGTACGATTCTCTGTCATTTTGATTAGCTGACGTTGCCAGTGGGGATACGGATACATAGACTTTTCAAAACAATTTAGGTAAGTTTGAGATATTGCTTTATTTTAAATAATAGGCCTAGTTTATTTCAAAGTCATATGAGTACCGGTAGACATTTTTGTATTAAATCCACAAGAGTTAAGTTAATTAAAGTTAACTTAGTCAATCCAAACTTTCGTGAATGCTGTCTGTGGGGGTTCTGTACCATAATAATTTTACAATTTTAAAATTAGGACCATAAAACTTATGCAATGGTTCACACATGTCAGAATTCTAATCGGAGGTACTGTAGGCATTCTAAGACAGAGAGGATGACAGGCCTATCTCTTGAAAGTGACGTGGCTTAGTAAATTGGCTTTTAAGCTATGGCATTCCTAGTTTGTACAGCTCGTGACATCTAAGCTGGCACTTGGCCGATCGCTAATAGTACCTTTTTCAAAAACATTATGTCTCGTCATGCGGGTTGCATTAACTGTCCTCGCGACCCATATGAAGGCGCTCAAGTACATAATACAAGGGGAGTCAACCCCGTGAGGCAGCGGAAATGTTTGCAGTCCGGTCTTTTCCCTACCTCCACCCTCCTCCCGCCTACACTGCCCGCGCTAGGCCAAGTGCCAGCTTAGGTGTCACGAGCTGTACCTACATTTTGTTGTACAGCAATAACTTGCAGGAAACTGCTGCTGGCTTATGCTAGCTTTAAACAGCTCTGATTGACGCTTGGTTTAAACTTCTTTGTATGTGTTGTCTCATACCATTGTCTAGCGTCTGCCGAGTCGCTGTATGGTGGAATTTTAATTCAGAATGATTTAACCCTCCAAGTGTCCATAGTAGTAATGGTTTTAATGTTGGCATATTTATTGCACAATCACATGGTTTTATTAAAATGTATCTTAGAAACTTAAAAACACAGCTATAGTAGGCATATAACTTAAGTTACTGTTTTAGGCTATATATAATTTTGTTTGGAAAATGATGGGCTTCAATGTAATATATAAAACATTACAAAAAAAAATTTCAACAATTTTTTGTGGGGTACCTAACATTTCTAAAAAATTATAGGGCAAATATTTACCGTATTTACACTGGGATATGATGTAATTTTTTTTATATGTCTACTTGAAGTATTTTTAACACTGAATCCAAAAATGCAATCAGTTTTTGTCCGAGAGATTCCTAAGTGGCCGTAAAACGAAGGTTAGGATTACGAATCTAAGGATAATTGAGCGGTACTGAAGGTAATGGTAATATGGCATGGTCTGGGCGGGTCCGTACTGAGTGAAGAGAGAGGAGTGAGGACTGAGTGAGAAGAGCAAACAACTGTTTATACTTGATCTAATGCGGAATGAAATCCAATCCATTCGTTTTGAAACCAATTAACTTAATCAGTTCTTATTTAGGCATGTGAGGAGGGTAGGTCGGGTTTTATGCGGATTCGTGACTGATAATTTAGGCTACATCAATATCACTACCTACCTATTTCTTCAGGATCATCAACCAGCCCTTCAAGATCACTTAAATCTTCTTTTTAATACACTAAGTATATCACTACTTTTTATTTTTAACACTAAAACAATGAGAAACGTAATAAAACACATCAGTCATCGATGTGAGGTTAACCAACTTGCTTACAAATACGCACGTCATCTGTCTGCTGCAATATGATAGGACCTAAAATGAAAAGCGTCTAGAAACAGACATCAGGAGAAAGCTTAGAATCTGCCGAAAATAACGATACCAATCTCAATCCAGTTCAATCTGATTCAGTCAGCCCCAGAGCCTTCGCCGTAAACGATGTTTGTGAGTCACAAAAGCGACGCATAACACCACAGCGGGTGTGTTGTGCGTCGCTTTTTTCAACTCTTAACACTCAGAGGGTTAACAGCCAACTTAGCGCAATTGGTAATTATATAGAAGCCTATACTATAGTTTTTCTGTAAAATAAACACAAAGCTTAGGCCTAGTCTATGCTTGGTGTTGCGTGATGATTTATGTTACAGTAGTTTCTTTTCAGGTTTAGGAAACAAATAGGCCTACTGTAGTTTATTGGCTTCGACCACAGTTTTGAAGCCAGTCAGTTTACAGTGTAAAAGTTAAGTTATTTGGTGTGTATCCAAGCCAGTAATTGATTTAGCATATTTTAAAAAGTTTTTTTAGGGAAGGGTCCAAACAGCTGTAAATGTGTTCATACATTTTTTTCTTGTTTCTACCCCAGTGGCTTTTCTTAATTTTATAATTCTAAGTAAACGCTTTTTAATTATATTAAGTTATCTTTGCAATTGAACCCAAGTGTCATCTTTGAATTAACCTAGTGCTGATTCGGTACTTTGGTATTATCTGGAGGCCACCCTTATACAGTGCGCTTGCGGCGGTTATGATAGGTTGGGCTGTTATTAATATGTTTGTAGGACTTCTCTCGTTTCATTATGAATCAAACAATACCAGATGAGTCATACTTTTGCCCACCAAATCCCCTCCAAGTAGGCCAAGATGAGGTCGTTGACCGGAGCATACGCATTACCTGTCACCGGGGCCTGTAACTTATCTGGTGTGGCAGCTAGCAGGGGCGACACATTCTACTCAATCCTCACTGACATCGCTGCCTTCTGGAAGGCATAACTCAAAGGCCGCTGATTGTGATCATGTCAAATTTGGACAGTAAGTAAATTAAAGTATGTTCTTTCCATTTATGATAACCCAACCTAACATAGCCGCGCTGCGCTGTATAAAGGTGGCCTCCGGATAGATAATACCAAAGTCTCGCTGATTCTATTACCGGTAATTAGTAATTAATATCTTAATTGTTTATTCTAGAATGGATCAAATCACAAAGTTCATCGAACCTGGCCGTATGTTCGCCAAAGACTCCTTGCGACTTGTTAAGAGATGCACAAAACCCGACAGGAAAGGTAAACTATTAGAAACAAATGATTTTATCCTACGATTATAACTGCAATAATTGAGAGCTTAGTTACTGTAGGTTACCGTAGGTGCCACGGTAAGACCTACACCTTTCAAACATACTTTTTAAATTCATGTCCCCAGAGGCCAATTTTGAAGCAGACAAAAACGGGTTGGATCTTTCTGTCATACAGTTTATAAAGTTTTAGTTTATTTTTATTGAGCTACTTAAGGGTCATTGTCACTGAATGTGATAATTTGCAAATTTTTTTTACTGTTTTTTTATAAAATATTTTGTTAATATTAAGTTATTATAAGAAGTAACCATATTCAGAAATACAAATCAATCAGCAGCAGAGCTTAAAATATTTATTTAGTATTTTTTTTCTATTTTTCAGGTCACCAAGTACAGTCCGGTCACACCTATTGTTATTAAAAAAAAGCAGTAAATATTGTTAAAAAAACAAACATATTGATAATTAGGAAATAACACTATTTCAACAGGTTTTATAGTTTTATAAGACTAAATGTTTGGTTTTTTTTTCATGAAAAGTGATTGATAAAGGTGAAATTAAATAGAAACTCCACTTAAAAGTCAACAAAATCCATCATAGTTAATTAAATATATACTTGTATTTGAAAAAAGTTCAGTAACATTGAAATACAATTCAAACTACCTATTGTAAAAAAAAAATAAATTACCAATGCATTTTTCTTAATTTTTATTAATCAGTACCGTGACTGGGCTGTCGCCGCCGTGACCGGGCTGCCGCCGACGTGACTATATATAACTAAGATTTTGAGTATGCGTCCATCCTGTTATGCGAATATTAATTTGAGCTTAGGCCTACATATGGTTAAAAACTGACCATAGAATCGTAAATGACAAATATTAAATATATAACAAAGAACTAAAACGGAAATTCATTCATACCTGGATATTTTAGAAACAAATTTCTTATAACAATTTAGTTTTTTTTTTTAACTATTTTTAGCTAAAGATTAATATTTGTGTTGTTAGTTAAATTTAGAATATAAAATAACATAATAAAATAAACGCAACCTGCGTTTATTATACATTTTGGCACTATATTACAGCCCAGTCACGGAAAAACAGCTCCGGTAACGTGACCGGACTGTAATCTTACTATATTATTTATATAGCTCCTAGGCTAGTTGACGAGACTGGGCCTCATTTTCAGGTTATGCTCTGTGCAAATTCTACAGCTAGTCCAACGTATGATTTGCCAGTTTTATTGGAATATGTCAGATAAGTGTGAGTGACCGAACTGTAACTTAATTTAGGTACGATGTGTATCTTACCGGTACCTGTTGTTTTGATTATAATTTCTAAATCAACACTTCTTCTGGCAAAAACTTCAACTCACAGCAACTTTACAAAGGTACTCACAAGGCTGGAACGATTTGCCGTGCTTTACAACTTTTTTGCTGCTTTGACGGGCTACGTCATTTTCACAGTCCATATCTCAGTGGCATTTGGAGACTGACGTATTAGGTCGAAAAAATCAATATTCCAACCAATTGTAAGATTGAACAGATGAGGTATTCGAATAATAAGTATTACGTATAACCTATATTCAAAGCTCTGTCGTGTTTTTAGAGTTTTTCCATATTTGACATCTCATTTGATGTTTAGGTTAGTGATCGGAGACAAGTGACCAGACTGTAAATATGCGTCTGTAACCTATTATAACACTTTTAAATTATGCATGTAATTGCTAAAATAAAGGAATATATTATTGGGAAATAAGGTAAATAAGTAAGTACACACATTTTATTTTTTATTCAGTTTTATTTTTTATTTATACTTAAGGAGACATAACTTATCCCATTCTGTGACATCGACCCTTAAACCATTCTCAAAGTAAAGCTACGGTACCGATATCAAAGTCTATGGAATAAATACCAGAGTATTATAAGAAGAACCAGTACCCATATTGACTTTTGGCTAGCCTAATATGCAAGTGTTTTGAAAAGCAAAACTAAAGTACTTTTGCTTTTTCAGAATTCCAGAAGATTGCTGTTGCTACAGCTATTGGATTTTGCATTATGGGCTTCATTGGATTCTTTGTCAAACTGATTCACATCCCAATCAACAACATCATTGTGTAAGTAGCCTAAGTGATATGATATGTTTTGTTCAATTTGTTTCAAAGTAACTTATCAAACCAATGTCCGTCTATTATCAGCTGACGACAGTGACTAGCGTCTCAGGGGGCTGGTTAGAAACCTTTGAGAACCTCTTCTGCAAAGGAGCGGGGGTTGTGGGAGAGCCCCTCACGTCGATTTAAGAAAAATTATAAAGTCAATTTTTTAATTATAAAATTAAACTGTCATAACCTAACCTAACAAACGAAACTTGCTGATAATATAAAAAAGATATAAAGATCAAAATCAAATGAACGTTTACTAATAAAAAAATAGTTCTGTTCATAAAATTAGTTTACATGAATAAAATTAATGAATTATAAATGCCTCGAATTCTAACAAAAGATGTACAGTTAAGAAATAATTACATTCTAAGCAATATCTTTGACAAAAAGTTAGTGTCACCGGTGGGATTCGATCTGGTTACCTCTTGAACATCAGCCGAGTACTCTTATCTACTACACCACGAACAACTATGTATGCACTTTGTATCATTGCGGTAATGGTGTTCCCTCTTCTGAGGTTCTCATTGGTTACTGACCAGCTCCCTGAGACCTATTGACAACATTCTTGTACTTAGTTATTTGTGAATATGTCATTGTACTTTTATGTACAGTAACATTGAAATCACCAAATTTGCACACACTGTAGGGAATCATAAATATTGCAAAATTCACTTATACTTGCCATAAAGTAAGCCTATCCCTAAAAACTGCTTGGCATGTCCTAGAAAATCCCTGGATTTGTGTAGGCTACGGCAGATGCTATAAACATTACATGGTTCACTTTGCAGTCATAGTTAGCATTAAATATGCATACCGAGTTGTAATAGGTAAAGTGATTGAGCTCACTATATAAACTTATTGCTTCTTACATATTATTATTAGGTACTTGATTTAAAACTTGATTTTAACCCTCCAAGTGTGAAACATTGATGCAACGGTAATAACACGCTCTGTGGTATCAAGCGATTGTGTATCGACGGTTACATTTAGCCTACATATTACCTTTTTACTCAGTCAATTTAATTCCGACCTAGACTGTGTAATCAGCAGAAAACTGGCTTTCTCCAGGGGTTCTTTTTCTATATCCTTACCGTACTTGTTTGTCTGTACGGTTCTATACAAGAGAAAAAAGGCAAATGTGCTGCCTGTTGTGTTTACAAGTTGTTTAAGTTAGGCCTACTATATTTTCTTTATTGAAAATATTGAGTTTTGACTGCTTCGAATTGTCTTGTTGACTGTTTCGACTAGCTAGCCTATACAAAACAATAACTAATTTGTTGATTTGCTGTGTTTGGAATTTTGTTTTGAAGAGTAAAGTCATTGTAATAGGCCTAGTTAATGATTATGTGCTTCTATATCATATGATATAACTTATTGCTGTCCTAAAAATTATGTGAACTCTACTAAAGTTTATATTTTATTTTTTGCTATAATATTTAATATTTAGAAACTAGCCGTTTGTCCGTTCTACGTACGGGAATCTTGTAGTAAGTTGAAACCTAATATTCAGAAGAAGGAGTTGGTTTGCATATTTAGTATGCATTTTTCCAGATATGCTGGCAAAACTATTACTGTACAGGAATACATATAATCCTTCGCAAATACAATATCTGACAGTTTCAAAGCCAAAACGAATGCTTTGCAATTAAATGTCACCCGATCGTGTTAGTCCATATTTTATATTTAATGATAAAAGAAATTGCTTTATAGATCTATGAGGCATAGCCCTAAGGTAGACCTGTAGTTGAAAGTTACTTTTCACACTGGTTAAAAGTAGTTAAAATACTACCTCAACCTCACTACTAATATATAAATAAGTCAATAAATACATATTCCACAAAACATTTATACGTTGACAACGCCAAGCTTTAAAAATTCATGATGGTTTGCTAAAAAATCGTTCACTAATTCATAGCAATAATTTCATAGCATAAACTAACATTTTGGAGTCCAGACAGAAAACGCTAAAATTATAGGCCTACTGTAAGACATCAATTGAATTTAATAAGAAATAAGGTGCAGCACTAACAATAACTATAGTTGTAAATAGCGATGTGTTTGTACGTAAAAATGATACATACTGCTACCACCTGTTCTAAGGAAAAGTAGCAGTACCAAAAACCAACGTTTACATTTAAGGAAAGAACTATAGTACTATGACCAATTCAAACTGTCCTTCTAATCAAACTGTATTATAAATAGGTGTTAATCCATTGGCAAATATATAAATAAATAAATACACAGGCCACAAAACATGTTTTAACATATAAAGTTAACAACCTAAAGCTTTTAAAACTCACCATGGTTTGCTCAAAAAAACTTTCACTTGATGTGGTGCAGTACCAAAATTATTAATCTCCCTTGGTTTTAATTTTTTTTTTAGTTTTTGAAAATATAAGTTATTTCCTATTAATAGCATTATTTGTAAGCAACTTTTAATGTTAACAGTTTGAAGAAACCACCTTTATCCAAACAAAGATTTCTTATTTAAAAGATTACGTAATCTCTAAACGATAATCGATACATATATATAGCAAACATTCGGAAGAAATGTGACAAAATCACAAAAACGCACAAATCTGGGGTTTTGGACGATTGTAGTTTTACTTCCTAAGTAGGAAAAGTACCAGTACCGATATCGGTGTCGAAGTGTTAGTAAGTATAAACCAAAAGTGACACATTGGAAAGGTGAGTTTAGCTACATCTGTAAGTTAAACCTCTCTTACGATCACAGCAAAATCAGAAAGATCTTCCGAGATCACAGCAACATCCACGATCACCCACTGCAGTTGTGATTTTTTACTTTGTACTTTACACAACTGTCATTGATCGGCACTCTAGTTTTCTAGGAGTAGGCCGCGTAAAATGACATTTTGGCGTTACAGACGGAACCACAGAGTGGACAAACAGACAGACAGACAGAAATTGAGATAAGACTTGTTTCGGCTTTCTTAGGCTATGAAACATAAGAATAACCAAAAACTGCATGATTCTTAGCAATGTACAGACAAAACTGTAATTTTATTTATACAGGGTGGCTGAAAAGTAACTTGCACCCCCACTTAACTTTTCAACAATTTGAGATATTTGAAATCGGTTTGCGGCAACCTTCTTAGATATGAGGGGCTACTATAATTATGGTCAATTTTGAAAATTTTGCCCTTAGGGGTAGCGGGGGTAGGGGGTAGCTCAAAATTTTCAAATGACAAGTAGGCTATAGTCAAGTTTGGTATCATTTTACAGGTCTTGACGAAACATAAACATTGACATAAAGAAAACCAAAATCGACTCACTATGAACAAAATGGCGCCCTAAAAAATTCAAATCCAAATAACCATGAGGGTTGCAAAAAAATAAACTTGCACCCTCTTTAACTTTGTTACTATTTGAGATATTTGAAATCGGTTTGCGTCAAATTGTTTGGATATGAAGGGCTACAATAATTATGGTCAGTTTTGAAAATCTTGCCCTTAGGGGAAGGGGGGGGGTAGGGGGTAGCTCAAAATTTTCAAATAGCGAGTATAGTCGAGTTTGGTATCATTTTGTAGGTCTTGATAAAACATAACAAATAACATAAAGAAAATAGAAATCGGACCATTATTAACAAAATGGCAGTTCAAAATTACTTTAAATAACCATTGTCTCAATCATTTTTAGCTGCCATTTTGTTATTAATGGTCCGATTTCTTTTTTTCTTTATGTTATTTGTTATGTTTCGTCAAGACCTGTAAAATGATACGAAACTTGACTATACTTGCTATTTGAAAATTTTGAGTTACCCCCTACCCCTAAGGGCAAAATTTTCAAAACTGACCATAATTATTGCAGCGTTTCATATCCAAACAAGTTTCCGCAAACCGATTTCAAATATCTCAAATAGTAACAAAGTTAAAGAGGATGCAAGTTTATTTTTTGCCACCCTCATGGTTATTTGCATTTGAAACGTTTTAGGGCGCCATTTTGTTATTAGTGAGTTAATGGTGATTTTGGTTTTCTTTATGTCAATGTTTATGTTTCGTCAAGACCTGTAAAATTATACCAAACCTGACTATACTTGTCATTTGAAAATTTTGAGCAACCCCCAACCCCCGCTACCCCTAAGGGCAAAATTTTCTAAATTGACCATAATTATTGTAGCCCCTCATATCTAAGAAGGTTGCCATAAACCGATTTCAAATATCTCAAATGGTTGAAAAGTTAAGTGGGGGTGCAAGTTACTTTTCAGCCACCCTGTATAGATAAAGCTGCACTGAAACATATTTACACAAGGTAGTTTTTTTTGCAAAGTAGATTTGTTTTATGTCTTACCTACGACCGGCCGTATTTTAAACTAGTTGTTTCAGTTCAGTTCTTGAAATGAAAAAGATTCAATTAACAACATTGTTTTCTTATTTAACAGCATTTTCGTTTTACTTTACAACACGAGTAACGGGCCAATGAGGTTCAAGGATTGAGAGAAAAGAAGTAAAATTGTAATAGACTAATTTTAATTGGTCTGTTAAGACCAATTTAATTTAACAATGAGTCAGTGGTTGGGACAATAATTCAATCGTTGCATCATTGAATTTGTATAATGATAGGATGATTATTTTGTTACCAATGAGATCAGCTGATGCTTTACGTAGGGTTGCTTATTATTATTAGGCTATAATCAATTGAGCTGAGTTCGCCACTTAGGTGCATATATTAAGCCAAATATGAGTGTAGAATGGAGTGAGCTACACATCTTTGTTACTGACAAAGACCGCTGTTTCATTAACCAGGATAATTTATTAAAGGACAATAATTAGAGACAGCTGGGTCCATTTTCTAAATTCTATATAAATAAAATTCGAGTTTTGTCTGTACATTGCTGAGAATCATAAACTTTTAGGTTATTTTTATGTTTATACATTTAAGAAACCGAAACAAGTCTCAACCGAAAAGAAGGTATGTGCATAGCGAGGTGCGAATTCGTCCAGTTCGCACAGCTACGTCACATGGTAGCTGTAGTATAGTCACATAATAAAACAAACTTGTTAAAGAAAGATAATAACCCCCCCCCCCGCAGCAAACCTGCAGACTAAGCGAGGAATTTCCATTTGCCTGATTGGATTTACACTAAAATGTCAACTTAAAAATATAACATGTATTTCCTACTAGCTGTAACCCACGGGCTTTGCCTCGTTTAACTTCTTAATTTTCAAGATGATCTCGTTCGCATGGCTCAATCACGTCCTGGTTGAAGTTCATTCGCTACGCTCACTCACCTTTAGGTTGGAGCTCGTTCGCTACGCTCACTCACCTTTAGCTTGGAGCTCGTTCGCTACGCTCACTCACCTTTTGGTTGCAAATTAGTTCTTGTCATAAATGTAAAAGAAATAATAGTGCTGCACCCTGTTGGTAATCCTTGTAACTTTAATGCTATTGAACATTATAGAACAGAACCAACTTGTTTAATTGAAACAGCTGTTAAGATTCATTAATTCCATTTCTCATAAGGTTAATATAAGAAACTCCAGAGCCAGAGGTCGGACGGTAAAATCCTTTCTTAGTGAGCGTCTACTACCCAAAAGTTTCAGGTTCCTAGGTCTTGTGGTTTCTGAGATTTTGTGATGAGTGAGTGAATGAATGAATGAGTCAGTGGTATTTGAGCTTTATATATATAGATTTAACTAGAATTAGTTTAACGTACTTAGGTTTGCTGCATCAGGGAGGGTAAAACTGTTTTTTTTTTGTAAAATGTTAATAGTTAGTAAGAAATAAAAACATTTTCCAAATTTGATCAAAATATGTCCATAAACAAGCAAACTACAACAGTTTACTTGTTCTCCTTAAGACTAACGTGGGAACTTTTAAATTTAGGGCCTAAATTTTTTTTAAATTTTCTCTTTAACCATTAGGCACATAATAACGGTTCAATGTACTAAATTATTTGTTTTTTTTAAGCTTTACAAAATGGTTTAGAAAGAAATTGCTAAATTAAATTTTTTTGGGTAAAAAATGGGAAAACCTTATTTTTACTCCATAAAACCCCCTGTAAACCCCTGTTCCCATAGTCCGATCATGCTGGTTCGCGAACTCGTTCGAAATGTATATTAACACGTTTATACCAAATTTCATCAAAATCGGATCATTTTCGCTTGAGTTATCGAGCTAACGGACACATATATATATATATATGAATTTGAACGGATGGTGTTTTTTCGCCTCTAGGGACCTCGAAACGAAAAAAAATCGGTCTCGTGTCCAGGTCTTACCATGAGTACTACGGTAATGGCTTATTCCCTAAATAATTGATAATTGATGGGAAATTCGCTAAAAACAGTTAAAAACATAAACAAACACAAACCATATGCTTTCAACAAGACAATAAAATAAAGACTATTAAACATATGATCCAATATCACAGTAGCCAAACCTGTTTTATTTTATAAAATCATATTTTTTCTTGTAATTTCTTATAGACTTTCAAATGAAATTCATTACGAATTAGCATTGAAAATATAACTCTATTAGTGTTAGGGCTATATATACAATATACAGTAGAACCTTGATAAGAAGTGCCTCATGGGGATGATGAAATATGACTTGTTATCAAGGTTATGTATTTAATATTGAATGTGGTGTCATCCAGTGTTTCAATGATAGTAGTGTAGAACATTCCATAGTGTGTACCTTTTTAATAGAAAAACAGCAAAACAGTAAATATGTAACTATGGCTGCCTAACAAGCAATATATTTTATTAGGTAACCACATACAAGTAGTTTGTACTGTATTACAATATTTTTTGCAGCTCCTACAGTTTATGTTTTATATATTCAAAAACCTCTGATTTAAATAGCCTTAGCCGAAAATAAATAGTTAGGCCTACAAATAAATTGACAAGATTGTATTTACATCAGGAAATATGGCAATACCAGCTAATTATAACTTACGATGTAGAGATTTTATAACACCTTAATGATATATACTAAATCCAAGCACTAAACCAACATATTTGCCTCCAACACAACATAGCGTGTGACAGTGTATCATAGGAAACGCTAGTCGACCGAGGATTCCTCTCAAATACACTGGATTATTCTTGAGGAATCGTCTGTGGACTAGCGTTTCCTATGTAACATACCACTCAGCTATAGTGCCTTGCACACTACATCACACTTTGGCTGATTGGAGGGGGGGGGATGCGCGTGCACCCACCTTATTTTATACGCCATGGTACCCATAGTCATCCTAGAATGAGCAAATTTTGTCTTCGTGAAAGTAACTGTAAACTTTGTTTTTGTTACAGGGGATCCTAAACACAGAAGAGCTTATTACCGACACATCTTATTATTGTCTCATACTGAGACGCCTGCATGAAAGAATATAATGCCCTTGTTGTTTATTGTCAATTATTTATTTATATTTTTATGTTCTTATAATTAAACAATAAATGACGTTTATCGGTGATTTGTAATTGGCGTTGTATTCATTGTTGTTGATCACTTTATTTGACTAAACTTTGTTAACACCAACAGTCATAAAATTGAGTAAGTTTGTATATAGGCCTACTTCAAATATAATTTTGAGATATACTAAAATATATTTCATACTTGGGGTGAAGTGTGTTTTAAATTTGTCTTGATACTCTATTGAACACTTATTCATGACAATCGTTAAACAGATTTTTTGTTAAACACTGTATTTGAAATTTTTTCATAAACAAAATTTTAACGTTAATACACAACTGTTGATCTCCCGAATGTTTTTGGCACTTAAATCTTTTGCCTCTAGAAATACCCAACTTCAGTTCATACAATTTTATTTTTAAGATCTAAGCTTATTCTGCTTTTACGTAAGGTAGAGATTTAATATTACATGGTGAATAATGAGTGGGGGTAGGTTTAATAATTAATTAGCAACATGAATTTTTCCTCTCTCAGCATGCTTTTGGGCAAAGTCTTTGTATGAAAGTGATGGTTTTTTTATCAGTGTTTTAAAGAGAGTACACCAAACGCCTTTTGGGAAAGCAGTCCAAACCCATATGATTTTGTGGATGGGCCTGGAGTCTAACCCGCACCAAAGTCTGAGACGTTGACCATTAGGCTAGCAACACACACCATATGTAGCTTACAAATTGTAGTTGTAGAATTTCAAACAAATACTTAAAGATTTAAAACTCTTAAAAAAGGAAAAACCTGTGAGTATTATGTCGTAAATCCTGTTATGGAGAATTTGACCTTTTCTTTTGTGTTGAAGAAACAATCTCTGTGTAGCCTATATAAATTTGGTGAATGGTACCATGTCCCAGTGTCTCTCTTTTCAGACACCTTATTGGGTACATATTCATGAACTAAATGAAAAAGTCCCAACCATCAGAAGACTAATTTTGTAACTTGTTTGATTATGAGGCTAGGATCAAAGTTGTGTGGGTTACCTATTTTGTGTATTTGTTTGTCTAGCTGTTAAGATTTGAACATAAAAAATTTATAATTAATATTTTGTCGTCTTATCATACATATCATAAGTTGCAAAGACAAAAAAATTGATTTTTTTACAAAATATCGAATATCACTCTTTTTTACAACAAATTATCAGTCATTATGTATGTGGAATTACGTTTCAATGCTCAGTTCCAAAACGTTAAACCGTAAACAAAAGCATGCCAGTTGTATTGGAGTTTGGAATTCCCGAGTAACTCGAGTCAGAAGATTGGCCTGAAGCCATCTTTGCGACACTCTGCCAAACAATTTGTTACTCAGTTGTTGCTTAACTCCTGCCTTACAACTCCCCTCTTAAATTTGATTAATGATGCAGATATTTCTGAACTGGCACTATTAAATGAACTTGTAACTTGGAGGTGTTAACTTCTCTGTGAAAATTTAATTTGCAAATTGTGTGGATGGTAAAAATGGAAACTAAACATACGTGTCTAACACTAACATTGTATAGTGTTGCTGGACCAACAATTATTGTTATAGTACTATGAATGAAATGTGTTTATTGTCCTTAGAATTTTCACAAATTATTGACAAAGTCATAGAACTGCTAAATTTTATAGCATAGTCAGTTAATAAATACAGTAAGATACAATATAGCTAACTACATAAAATGAGACATTTTTACAATAAATATTTTAAATATTATAATTAAATAATCTTATTCTTAAGAAAAATTCGTGGCATTGAAAATAATGGAAGTGATTAAACCGCATAACCAACAAAATCCAACAGTACTTCGGTCAATTCGCTAACTCTACTTAAAAATTAATACCAGACATTTAAAAAAAAATCATTTAGAAAATAGAATGGGTTGTTCAAAAGCCATCTGTAGAATTTAGTTTTAAAAGTATTTTCAGGATATTTTCCTATTAAATGTAGGTGTATAGTCAATGGTATTAGCTTGTTGTATATTTTTAGTGAGATTACAATATGGCTTTTAATAGTTTTAGACAGTCTGAAAAAATTTATGGTAGCAACGCTTTTATTTCTTGTATAATGAACATGAGAATTTTGTTTGATTAAGTTGGGATTTTTTAGAACGTATGATACAGAATCAAATAAATAAATGTTAATCACTGTTGGAATTTGTAGCTGAATGAACAGGGGTTTACAGTGTTCCTGTTGGGGTTCATGAGATATAATTCTAACCATTATTTTTATTGAATTATTGACACTGCTGAATTATCTCAGACAATTTAATAGTAACTGGGTGTGAAAATGTGATATTGAAGATTTTAAAATTATTTCTTCCTTTTAAGATTTTCATACTACAACTGTTGAAGGGGACATAATATTTGCTTTAGTTCACAGTAAACACACTATTCCGTAGCATTTCATTATTACTGCCCATTATAAATTCAAAACGTCAAAAAACTGAGCTTTCAGTTTATATGAGTGTAACTGCCAGTGGTTAAAATTAAAACTAAATGTTATTAGAATCTATGTTTTTAGTCATGGTACTTAAAAAATAAAAATGTGTCTGATCAAACCGAGCAAGGCTCGCTCCCCCGATACTGTAATTTCAAGTGAGAGTAAAAACGGGGACAGCTCACTTACTCTACAGATCATAGACTATACGAGCTTTTTAAATAATATTGAAGGTTCACTTGCACTACAGGCTCGTATACTATACGAGCCTATCGAAAATAAAAAATAAATGAAGAGGGTTCACTTACTCTACGAATCATTGTGCCTATGAGCCTCGTGTATTATATTTAAAAATACAGTAGGAAGGTTCGCTTACTCTACAGATCATAGTGACTATGAGCCAAGCTTACGAATTATTTGATAATTCAGGAATCGGCTCGTATAGTATACGAGCCAAAATAATGAATAATATAAATTATAGGAATAGGCTCGTATACTATACGAGCCTGCAGAAAAATATTAGATGGCTCACTTACTCTACAGTTCATTGGCACTATGATCCGTAGAGTAAGTGAACCCTCTTCAAAATATTAGATGGCTCACTTACTCTACGGCTCATTTAGCTACTCGTTGCGCGGTTTGCGTTCGTGAAACTTTAGGCGCTATGCCCGGATTCGACTGCTGCGACTGCCTACATAAGTGTATTGCATCACCTCAATTATTTATTAAAAAGAAATAAATATGTATGCACAAGTAAATTTATTACATTTTTGGACTGAATACTCCATAAAAATGGAGGGAGCATGACTTTTATGTTTAATTAAATTAAACGTTATAGAATAAAACATATTTTGACTAATATCAGGTTATATAATACACGCTTGTATGATCCAGATACAGAGCTACAGACAAAACCTGTGGTCCGATTTAGATTAAATTCTGTATCTGGATTTATCCACGAGTCACTAATTTTTTAAGCACGGGTTGAGAAATAATGGCAAAAATTTATAAAAACAGTTCACCAGTTTAGAATATTTCTCAGTTACTGTGAGTTGCAAAAAAGTGTATACAGAAGCATTTGTGTACATAGAAAATATAGAGGACTAGATGTATACGCACACAACTATCAACGTTTACATATGTAAAATTAATGAATTTGTTGTATTGAGTATTTTTAACATTATGACGAAGCCTTAACAAAACATATTTTTTTAAGGAGTTCTAGGGTGTTAAACTATATTGTATTTATCTTTTGTGGAAGATTCTGTCCACGATTTATGATTGCTAACAATTTAATACAAAGATTTAAGTCTCTGTACGTGAAGACTAAAAACACGAAACAAACTTTAAAGTGATAGAAAAGATTTGATCAGGAGCTGGCGTTTGATACCTTTTGGGAATAAATATAGCCTCTACTTCAAAGGTATACATGGTGAGATAGCCTCTGGAGGACCATCTTCAGGTTAACAAAAACGTCAATAGGTCATCTAACCAATTTGGTTAGATGACCTATTGACGTTTTCTGAAGATGGACTTATTTTCAAGTCCGAAACTATAGTAGTGTAATACTGATGAAGGATCACTTGACGAAGCCAGGTAACTTAAACCATTTAGCTTAAAGTTATACAAGTTGGTTTCACACCAACATTTCATGCACATATGAAATCTATATAATTAATACGCGAACACGAAGTTTGTCGGTTGAATCCTCCACCATTTCTTAACCGATTTTATCCACTGACGTCTCATTGGAAAGAACGTGTTGCGTAGATTTGCAAACTGGCCTACAATTTTTGAAAAAGTCCCTTGGCCTCTGCCACAGTGGCATTTTAAGTTCCCATGTTATCCTTACGAAGAACATAATATTGTTTACATCAGCTGTTTAATTTAATTGTGTTCTTTGTTTTTCAATTCAACGATACGCATTGGTTACATTAACTGATTTTGTGGAAATTAAATATCTATCTATATATATAATTCTGTAAGACCTAATTTTTACCAGAAAATTGTGGACGTCTGGTAAGTCGCAGAAAAGTGGGAGGGGTCTTAAATTAAAGGTATTGACCCCAGGGACTCGGGAAAAATAGCAGAATTCCCATAAAGCTACCAGAAAACGAGATATAACTAAAATATCCACCATAAGAAATGCATGGGGACTGAAAAACGTCTGCATTCTATCAGCTGTTACTTATTTATTTGCAATTTATTCCGAAAGACAATGTTGGTAAATAATGTTTCAAAAAGGATTGTGTTTAATTTTTTTGTTTTCCGTTTTTATAATGAGTGAAGTAACTAGACAGGGTAGGGGAAGACCTGCAAGACGTGGAAGAGTGTCCAGGAATTCAACAGACTTAAGAAATGCAAAAGAGAACGTCATGTAGGGCCTAATTGTGAAAGAAATCCAGAAGCCGTTTTAGAAAAACGCTGGAAAATTAGTTGATTGTTGTTTCTCACAATATAGGTCCTCTTAAAGCACTTGCATGCATTGTGGCGCATTTCATTTTGCAGAGGAGGCCACAAATGGACATTTCAACGCATGTTGCCACAATGGACATGCCACAACCACAAGCAAATGACGAACTAAAAGAACTGTTTTTACATGATTCGA